TAGAGATGTGAGGGATCTTCCTCCGAAGATATCTTCGATTTGTATCGTAAACAGTCAAACTTGATGAATTTATCCAATACATAGCACACACTGTCAACACACAAAACCGAACCCTCTTATCTAAGCTAGAATGGATTCGAAATGCCCTTCCAAAATCCATTTGCATAACCGAATATGGAATAGCATTGTGAATCCATTCCAGCTCAAATGCGAGGGTTCGAGTTTGTGTGTTGACAGCGTGTGCTATGCACTAGACAAATTCATCAAGTTCAACATGTTCATTCTTGACATGAACTATGAAGAATGGGTACAGATTCCTCTTCCTTGTAATCCATGTGAAACATCCTTTCGCAAATTGATCGAGTGGGGAGGATGGGTGCACTTGGTTCTTGTTTCCGGAGCACGGGATATGGAGATATGGAGGCTGGGGAGGAAGGTTGACAGGAAGTGGGAGAATTGATCGATTAGCACTTTGAAAAAAGATTTCGAATTCTAAGCTAAGAGTTGAAGATGGGGAGATTATATGTACTTCCATACCATCAACACTCCATGTTCATTGTTCGAGCCATGAACGGGTGGAGGTGCTGGAGGCTGTGACCCATTTGATGTTTTCCAGTTCTTTTTTGGCGGCAATCCATTCGGAGGTGGTGTTAGCAGCCGAGGCAGAAGGCAGAGGAGAGGAGACGATGTGGTTCATCCCCTGAAGGTGTCTCTTGAGAAGCTCTATAATGGCACCTCAAAGAAACTCTCCCTCTCAGGGAATACCATCTGCTCAAAGTGCAAGGGCAATGGGTCAAAGTTTGGTGCTTCAATGACATGTGTTGGTTGTCAAGGATCAAGTATGAAGGTCCCCATAAGACAGTTGGGGCCTTCAATGATTCAACAGATTCAGCACCCATGCAATGACTGCAAGACCATTAGCGCTAAGGACCGCTGGCCACAATGCTAGGGTGAGAAGGGGATGCTAAATGGCCAGAATATCACCTTCCCAGGAGAAGCTCATAAAGCTCCAGATTAGCGCTCATAAAATCGAACTGGCGTTGGAAACCAGGCAAGAGCCGGTACTGAGTAATCGATAAACTGGCTGGTTCAATGGGTCTAATTGGGCAAGTCCAGGACAGTCAAAAAAGAGTTAAAAAAATAAAAAATACAAAAATATTTTTTAAAAAAAATATATAAGATATTTAAAGTATGATTAAATAAAACACATTCAACTGAAGTTGAAAATCAGCAAAAAAAAAAAAAAGATCTATGCCTATCCAAATGAAGTTGAAAATAAGTGAAGACAAGATTTGTGCCCAGGGTTATACTTGAAAATTTCCAAAAAAAATGGAAAAATACCAAAATACTTTCCAATCTTTGCAAAGATTAAAAAGATTAAAAAACACACAAATCCCTTATTTTTTAGAATTTTTTATAAATATTTTAATTTTTTTTTAAAATACCCAACCGAATCACCAAAACCTGAGAGGTTCCGATTTGATCCGCTTGAGAACACTGCTCCGGATTGCATTACAGCTGATATTGTGTTTGTATTGCAACAAAAGGAGCACCCGAAGTTTAAGAGAAGGGGGATGACCTGTTTGTGGAACACACTCTCTCCCTTACTGAAGCACTCTGAGGTTTCCAGTTCGTGTTGACTCACCTTGATAACAGGCAACTGCTTATCAAGTCTAGCCCAGGGGAAGTAGTAAAGCCTAATCAATTCAAGGCGATATACGATGAGGGCATGCCCATGTATGGGAGCCCCTTCATGAAGGGGAAGCTGTACATCCACTTCACAGTTCAATTTCCAGACTTTTTGAGCCCTAAGCAGTGAAAGGCATTGGAAGCTGTGTGTCACAAACCTGGCACATGCAGTTTGCATGTCTTAACAAGAAACATTATTGTATATCGAAAAATATTTCATGTTTTACCAACTCCCCCCCCCCCCTCCTCTCTCTCTCTTCAATGCAGCAAGGGAGTCTTTGCCCTAAGGTCTCGTTTGGTTTTTAGGATTCAGATTTCTGGGACTCACGTTTCAAGGAAATGTGTCAAAAATGTGTTTGGATGCACTTTGATGGAGGGTTCACATTTCAGCGGTAAATCACTTTCTACCTTTTAAGCCAAGTAGTTGGAAATATTAATTCCACCTAAACAGATGCATTTCATATTTCTTGAAACTGATAGAGTTCAAATTTTTGCTGTAAGTTGTATTGAACAAATTTTATGGAGTCTGCCTAAAGGAGAATTCTATTGACCAAGTTCAAACTTCAAAAGAAATTTTCTCGAATTTTATGGCACATCCAAGCTATCAAAATTCACATCAAATTGTTGTAAGGAGTTGTGTCCACCTTGTATCAAAAGTGAATGGTCTCATTTCACATTGTAAGAAATTGTGACCACCTTGTATGAAATGTAAATGGTTTCATTGTATACAATTCCTTATATAAATGTAGTTATAATATGTAAATATTACATGTATAGCGTTAATATATTTACAAAATATACTTAAATACCAACCAAGTTGCTAAACATACGTAGTTCATTACACAATGCTTTTTAAACGTGTTAATAAACATGGTAAAAAGAAAGTTTGTAAAAGTTTTTTCTTACAAAGTGTTTACATATGTAAATATTTTTCCAAAATATATTTAAATACCAAACAAGTCAATTTTCTATTTAACTTCCTATCTCTCTAATAAATGAAATGATTATGTTATGGTAATGATGTAATTTTGGAATAACTTAGAACATGGGTTTTCAATATGGATTGAAAATGATGCATGATGGACTTTCAGATTAATTGTTTTAAGCTCTTTAATTTATGAATTTTTATCTATGGTATGGCCCACTTGGGTCCATTATGGGCCTCTCCCTCTCCCCTCTCTCTCTCTTGTATTTGTCTCTGTCTCTTTGCATCTATCTCTTGCATTCATCTCGGTGAAAGGTTATAGCAATATGATCTGAGGGCGTAAATAAAATGAAATTCAGGCCTATCGCACACTTTGTTGCTTCACCATAAAATACGTCTTTATGAGTAATATATCATATCAAAATTTTGGGTATTGTTAGAAATGACATTGCAAGCTCGGTAAGTTTGAAATGTCTCCTCACTCTAGAAAAAAGGATTTAATAACCATAATATTGGACATGGATAATTTTTTGGCATAACAATAATTCATAAAAAAATTGGAATTCCCAGGAAAAACATATTCTAGGTAATCCAAATAGTGAATTTGCATCTTTCTGGTCTCTACCAATTGCTATCCAAACAACATACACTCATATTCAAGAAAATTCCAATTTTAGTAAAGATACACATTTCCACATGACAGGAAATTTCAGGAAACCAAACAGGCCCTAATGGACTCAAGGTCAGCCCAAAAAGAACCTCACTCTAAAAACTGACTTACTCTCATGATGTAAACCTACTAGGTCCTCCTTGAAGGTAGGGAGCCCAATACGCTTCCTTTTACCCTGGATACCATTTGTTGTCTAATCCTTTGTGCACATCCATCAACAACAAATTCCATGGCAAAGTCAAATAGCTGGCTTACATATTAAAACTGTCTATAAGTTTGTACCTTTGGGAAGAAGATCATCTTAGCTCATGGAAGGGTGGTTCCTACGAGGTGAAAGCCCCACCCAACACAAATGCACATTTGTCTTATCACCAAGTACATTTAAATGGGGGAAATAGTTTGATAGGGCTGCAGCCCTATTAAAATAAGTAAAGCCTTCCCTCACAACTCATCAAAAATTTGCAATTCAAGTGCTAGAAAAAACTTTCAAATCGATCATCTCAACTTGAACATTATGGTTTTACAAAAAAATTAACTTTTAAAAAGATAGTGTATATTGCAACAAATTATTTAGACCATCTATTTTATCATGAAAATAAGTGTTTTCAGATCCGCAAGATCTATACTATTTTTGGAGCTTCAAATTGTATTGTCTGTGTTGGAAATTAAATTTAGAGCCATCATGAAGATTGTTTATGCCGAAAGTGCTTTCCAAATGAAGATTTGAGGTGAGGCTTTATTTTGTTTTCATAAAGCCTAGGCCCTATAAAAACTTGATCCTTTAAATGATTCAGAGATAGAGAGAGAGAGAAAGAGATCTCAATTGTTTAAAGGTATTTCACAATTTGTGGACATCTCTTTCTCTCCAAGAAAGAAAAGAGTAATTTAATATAGTGATGTAAAAACAAAAAAAATATGCTTTGGATTTGGCTTATAAATTGGACTAGTACCATGAACATTGGAATAAAGCACCAACTAGACTCCATCAAACACCATGAAAGACCATCATGCATGGCTTCTCACCCTCCTGGTCAGCTTGCTCATGCTCAATATTTTCTCAGAGGCCGATGAAACTGAGAGACAGGCAAATTCTATTCATTCTCTTGCAAATTGCATCTTTTTTATTGGATGAGGTTTGTTTAAGGTGTCAACCTTAAACAATCACCGTAAGGTGCACCTCGAAACCTCGTTATAAGATTTGTTTTAGGTGTCAAACTCTTATGATCACCCTAAACTTTATTTTTCACCCCTATTATGAAATTGAAACTTCAAAGATAGTGTAGATCTAGCAAATCTATGACTACTTAAATATCTTGACAATGGATGGTCTAGATTATGTGTTACAAGATGTACTATTATAAATACTTAAAATTCAACTTTTCTTTCATATTCATATGTATCGAGTTGGGGATGATCAATTGGACAATTTTGTAATAACAAAACAACCTTTTCCTATGAGTTTGAGGTGCACCCTACTTGTACAGTATAAGGTTGACAACTTATATAAACTTTTTTTTTTTTTTGTTATTAAAAAAGAAAATTTAAAACACTTTGAGTGTTTGATAGAATAATCAATGTTTAAGTGAAAATTAACGGGTTTTGGGGCTTTTTTATGATAGTGGCTTGTGGACTTATACCTACGATAAATGTATAGTTAAGGCACAATTGAGAGAGACAGGAGGTCTAGGGGCTGATAGAGTATTGTGGTTTATGACAATGATGCAGGTTCACATTGTGTACCTGGGCCAACGTCCTCAAGGGGATTTCTCGGCTGCATCACACCACCTTGGTATATTGCAGCAAGTCCTAAGTGGCAGGTTTGGATCCGTTCCTAATAATCATAAGCCTTCATAAGGAACCATAACAATAATAATAATAATATATATATATATATATAATATTATTAT